GACCCAAGTGCAGGACCCGGCCCTTGGCCTGTTGAATCTCACACAGCTGACCTCAGTGTTGCTGAGTTGTTCACCGCTAATCATGGAACCCGGACGTGAGACATGTAACTCTGCACTCGCAGCAGATGTCAGAGCCCACAGCGGTGGCAGGACTCCCCTACCACTCCTGCTCCCACTCTCGTGCTGCAACAACACTTGGTCTCAAGTCTCTGCCCAGCTCCAGCAGCATCTCACACCCTTACTGGTGGAACAACCCTCTGTGCAGGGCCATCCCAGCATGGTGTTCAGACCATACAGACTTGCTGGATGTGTGGCTGTGTCCTACAAAGGGAAATAGGGGAGCAAACCCTGGACTGCTGGATGGGTTTTCTGGACAGCAGTTTGATTCCTTAGCTTGAAAATCAGCGTCAACCATTGAAACTGCAAAACAAGAAAGAGATTTTTTGCTAACCAGGACAAAAGGCAACGGGCTCCCTAATTCCAGCCACATTTAGTTCCATCTTATGGGAATTTTACAGGCTCATTTTTTCAACCTTTTATCTGGGCAGTTTTCCAGACAGACTTTTTAATGAGAAGCAGATGCAGGATAATGAGGGTGAATAAGAAATCAGTGGCTTTTGTAATCTTTATTGAGGCATTCAAAAAGTTCCTATGCAATAAATAAATAAATACTGGTATGGTCAACTTTTAATCTTAAAAAAAAATGTTTTCAGAAAAAATCCTGTCTCCAATATCTCATCTGTGCAAGGCACCTACGTCCTGTGTAACAAATACATGGTTTGGAGGGGGAAGCCCTGAAAGCCAAAGCTCAGGAGGGCCTGGCTGGAGTGCCAGGGTTTCTCTCATCCACATGAATAAGCAGGTCAGCAAGTGGAATCCATTTCATTGGAATTTCCCTAAAAATTGTCTATATTTAGAACAAAGATTTAGAGGAGGTTGGGAAGGAGGGAAAATATTTCCCCTCCTTATTTCTCTTCCATAAAACATCAGGAAAGGTTAAAAAAAAAGAGAGAGAACAGTGAGTTGGCCATTCCTAACTGCCTGAGAAGCCACAGCAACTGCACCCAGTTATCTGTTTCAGGACACGCTGTTCTTTTTAACACCATGAGATGCTCAGGAGACATGTCCACATTTAGGACTTTTCCACAAACTCATTATGCATGCTTTGCACTGTTTGACTCGGGAATTATTCTCTTTTTTCTTAAGTAAAATTATTCCAAACTGGTGGTCTTCACCATGCCTCATAGCCACCCTCCAGCCCAGCAAAGTCCCAGGCACCATGCACAGCCTTTGTGAAGGCATCACGACCAGGAGCAGTGTCTGGTGAGGGCACAAGCATGATGACATATGATGGCAAGGAGGGAGCTGGAGGGAAATGTTAATGTTCCACTGCCAAGTATTACTTCCTTGCCAGAAGGATCAAGGCAACTGCTTCACTGTTGACACCTTCTTTGCACTCCCTGCTTGGCAGTATTTTCCTACAGGAGCTGTTTTCCAAAGTCTCCTTTACAGATTCGTATATTTAAAGGACAAAAGACACGCAGCTTGTTTGACTTACAGGCTTGTAACACTGAACTGCAGGCTGCTCCATCCTCCCTGCTGGAAAAGCAGTTTATTTACTATCACCCTTCTCTAGTTTCCTAATCCAAATGCTTGGCTGTCTTTAAAAATGCACTTTGCAGGAACAAGCCCACTGCACAACGTGGACAGGAGATCTCCATTGCTCACCTGGCCACATCACCATCGATCCTGCCACTAAATTTTATCACATCTACAAGAGTTACTACCAGTCGTTTGATATTTTTCCCCAGACCATTAATGAAGATGACAGTGAATCAGAGAGACCCTGGGGGGAGCTCCAAGGAAACACTTCTAAAGGATGATGATTCCCTATTAAAATTAGTTCAGTGTGCTCTGTCATCTATCAGTTAATGAGTTTTTAATCCATTTATAATGGATTAAACCAGACAATGCTGACTCGGTATGTTGTTCACTCACTTTTAATCAGCACTGTAGGGAGATAAGGCTTACAGAAGGCAAAATATCATGGTGATAGTTACCTTTATCAACCAAACTCGTGGTCTTTTAAAAATCAATAATGGGATTGTTTGACAAGGCTTGCTATCCACACAACTGTGTGACTTGACAGCAGTTACAATCTTTGGTAAAATCAGAGCCTATTACCCAGTCCTAATGACTTAAGTGGATTTAAAAGTTTCCCTTTACAGCCTCCTTTTTATTGATGGAGTAGGAAATATTTCACTTTCACTGAAATATTTGGCTACATTATCCTGATAGTTTTAAAATAAGGAACAGGAATATTTATTGAATGTCTGGCTGTTTTCTGTACCATGTTAATTTTCTCCTAGCTCCTGCTACTACAATTCTTGTACTTTTACTAGTAGCTTTCACATTGTTGATCAGTCATCTGCTCATGCCAGCATCCAATATACCCTCAAAGCTCCCCAAAATCTCAATTTGTCCATTTGTTGTATTTTTTAACCTTTTAATTTTATTTCCACTTCCTGACCACAGACACCCTATAAACCCCTCAGGCCTTCCAGGATGGTGATGAGGACGGCAATTCTCTTATGTTGGAAGGCAAAAGTAAAATAACTTTTGTAATTTTTTAAATAACTGTAACCCATTCCCAATTATTATCTGCATTTTTACAGCACGTTTTGCTCTCTGCTGTTTTCCACGTTGGGAATCTCACAAACCCCCATCCAGCTACCACCTAAACTACTGTGGATGCCAGCTGGAAGTTGGACCGAGACATGGGGACTGCCAAAGAACATCTGGTTAAAGGAACAACTTGTACAGGGTAAGGCCAGAGCCCCAGAGAAGGTGTTTCCCTTCTATTCACCACCCCAATCATGCAACAAGACCTGCAGCTCCACTGCAGCGTGGGGATCTCACAGCATTGCCCCCTCCATCCCCTCAGACCCACTCCCTGTCTCACAACTGGTCCCACAGACCCCCCAAAAGCTTCACAAAACCTGTTCAAGCACCTCCCCAGCCTCCCAGGTGCACAGGATTTGGTGTAGCTGTAATCAAAGCCATATGAAATCATTTGATCTGTTAAAGGACTGGAGCTTTAGTGAGCTGCCACAGCCATGTCATGGGTTCCTTCTCCCCCCCCTCCCCCTTCTGCTTTGTCTCTTTTTGTTCATATTCACTTTTGTACTGGAAGAGGCTGTGACAACCCACCGTCCTCCCAGCTGCTCTCAGCTTTGGTGTCCAGAGAAAGCTCTTGTCTACCCGATGCTCTCCCTTTTTTGAATGCCAGCTTCTCACAGGTTGGGAAGCAGCAGGGTGAACAGATGTCCCTTATTTGAAGTTAAAACCCCACTTAAACTGAGCCTTCCCACAGCTCTGCTGTCACTGGCTAGAGCTCAGAGCTAATTCTCGTCCTTTCGTTTTGCCAGGAGCAGGGATTCCTGGGGCAGGTGGGTTCAAACCTCTCAGAGTGAGGCTGGGCAGAGTCCCCACGTAGATGGTGTGACAAACCTGCTGCTAAACCTGACTGATTTCCAAGCCTGGTGGGACATGCGGAAGGACAGGGCAGAGCTCTTGGGATGACAAGGATTTGGAGAGGAAAGAAAGAGGGAGGCTGGGTGTATTTTGAAGCCTCTTTGGGGGCAATGAAGCACAAAGACTTTGCTTTGCTGCAGCTGAGCCAGTCCCCAGGCAGCCTCATCTCCTCCCCATCCTGCAAACTGCAGTGACATCTCGTGGTGAAGCCAACCGGCTTGGGGCCAAGCCACCTCGGGTGGAGGGAACATGGGCTGGCCAGAACCCTCGGACTCACCTGGAAAGGTTTCAGGAATGTCTCCTCCATGGCCAGCCGGCCATACTCGGTGAAAAGCTGGAAGGAGAAGCAAAGAAAACCAGGGACTGTTAGTTTGTCAGTCTGCACGGCCGGACGATGGCTGTGGGTCACAGGCACAGCAGCAGGGGACAGTGGTTGGCTTGGGGCTAACAGCACTATTTGCAGAGCTGGAACAGAAACTGGCTGGCTGTGTGTTTTCAGTTCACATCTGAGGCAAACAGAGCTGTTACAGACAATCACCGTGCTGAGCCCTCACGTGAAAGATCTCAATCTGGAATTTCTGGCTGCCAAATCTGTGAAAAATGGCCCAAATCGGCTGTGCGCTGTTGCTTTCATACCAACTAGAAACTTCACGTGCTCCAGGGGATTGCTGGAGCCTTGCTCTCTTTAAACACTCCAAGAAGAAGAGGAAATTAATTCAGAAATAAGTATTTTCCCTGCAAACTCCCACTGTGCAAAGACTGTAAGATCAGCCTACCAGCAAGATTTGAAGGCTCTCCAGTCTCTCTGGACTGTAATTTCTAACTGAAGGCACAATAATGTATTTCACAGATGCCTAAAAATGGGTCAACATGTTAAACAGTAATGGCTCAAAATCCAAACTGAAAGATCAGAGTTGCATTGGATAAGTTCAATGTTAAAAAGGCATTATTGTTACAAATATTTACTGACTGAAATGATACAAAAATACTTAAATGGTGATTTTTTCCAGCTGGACTTTTCCTTTTCTTTCCTTATCTACCTAACTAATCAATCAACCACCTCAACAGAAGAGAACACTAAAGGTAAAACCAGGAAATGGGCAGGATGTGTGCCACAAAAATCCAATTAGCTGCTTGTCTCCAAGAGTCAGGGCTGTAATTACCCTTAGGGGTCACCTGCACTGAGCCAGTATCAGATGCCAATATCCAGGCTCATAAATGGCTACCCAATTTTTGGGGGCTTCTCCTAACAATCCAAAGATCCCATCCTACAGCATGATCAGTGCAATTTCTACCTTCAGCTTCCCCATCACTTAAGTCAAACGAGCATTTTTACTGCCCATGCTCACGGAGCAGAGGACGGATGCTCACAGCAGCAGGAGCACAGCCAGCACATGGTTTACTACCCTGGTTCCTTCCCTATTACCAGTCACTTTAGCCCTTTGCTAAAAATCATTGCAAGTTTTGAGTCTCATGGGTCAGTCCTGGCCTCTGATGAGTCTCTGTTCCCTGAGGAATCCCAGTATAATCCCATGGAAGGACACAACAGGCCAGCGTGAGCTGTATCCAAACTGTTCCTGGCAGACCTGTGATGGTTGTTCCACAAGGAAATGGTTTGTGATGGGTACTCTACCCTACGCAGTCTGTTTGATGCTCCTCCAACTTCACCATCAGAAGTCAACCCTCTCGGGTTGCAGAACCACTCATGACAACTTGTCCAATGCACTGTGGATATAAGAAGAGCTACTGCCCTCCACTTTACAGCAGCCTCATACACAGCTGAAGATGGTCACCACCTCCCTTCTCAGCCACTTTTGTCTTGACTTAAGAGCCTTGGTTCTTCTCACCTCTCCATGACCTCCAGCTACCTGCTGCAGCACGAAGCACAGCCGTGGGCCGTTTCCAGCTCCACAGGCGATCAGCCTTGAGGAAGGCACACATCCCAGAGACAGAAACAGTCCCTCTTGGTGAATGTCCCACTGCCTGCCCTGCCAAAGGATCCAGGCCCCCAAGAAGCCACACTATGAGAGCGTAGGCAAGACAGGTTTCAACCCAACTGACTGTTCCTCCATGCCCATGAACCAGTAAGAGTTGGGAAACTGAAAAACCCTTTTGTGGCTCCGAAGGCAAAAGTGCCTTTCCAGAGCAATACAGTTTGCAAGTGAGGAGTGTAATCCAGGCAGCCCAGTGCTGCAGAGCAGCAGGGACAAGGGTCTTACCTGCAAGTGCTGCAGATCATCCTCCTGCACGTTCTGGGACAAGTTGTAAACCTGCATTTAAAAACAAAAATTTCAGAGCACTCAGAATGACCTGTCCTTTAGGCCAACGTGTGGGTGAGTGTGGTTAAAGCTGACAACATTACCATGGGGACACAGCCAAGGCCTAGCTGGCCCAGGGTGCCAGCACACGACTGGCCCCAAGGACAGCTATACTGCTGGACAGACTCAGGCTGTCAGACAGACAGGCACTGTTGCTTCCTGTGCAACAAAACACTCCAGCATGGGAGTGCCAAGGGCTGTCATGGCACCTGGAAGCCTGTCAGGTCCAAATAATGTTCCTTCTTCTCTGTTTTTATGATGTGCTGAGCTCTGTAACAAGACACACCCCATTCACGCTGTCCTCCCAAGAGCAAAGGCCAGTAGGAAGGGAAGCCCTAACAGGCTGTGTGGGGTTTCTGGTGTGTGAACACCTCCAGCCCAGAGGTTTCTCCAGCAGCACTGAGATAAAAGCACACCCAGTTCCTCAGACCAAGGTCCTTTGCCTCTTTGGTAGCTGGAAGCAAAGGGGTGCATCTGCTGCTGGCCCTGCTCTCGGGGTGAGACGAGGAGATGAGACAGCTCCCTGTGATGACGGAGTCATGTGTGAATCCTGCACTCAGTGCAGCCAACATGACGGCCTTTGTCTCTCCCACCGAAGGCCTTGGCTAGCTGCTGTGTTAGGCTGGTGCCAAGCTACTGGGTTTTTGCCACTGCCTTTTAGGAAATGATTCCTGGAGACATCCCCCTTCTTACCTGTATTGAGCTGATCATTGTGCTAAGGGCAAACACAGTGGCCGAATCCCGCAGGGTGGACTGGCTGTCAAAGGTCCCCTGTGTGTCCATCAGCAACACGGCAACCTGAGAGGCAGAAAGCTCTGTGTCAGTTTGGATGCACCCATTCAGCATCTGCATCCAAACAAAATCACTCTCAAATGCCAAAGGAGTGGGGGAGGGTGAATGTCAGCTGCATTATTGTCCTGGGAATCTCACTGCTTCTGCCTCAGACTTGTAACTGGTGGAGGGCAAAGGAAAAGAGCAGCCCAAATCACTCCTGACAGCACAGTGACTCCAGCAGGCAGCAAAATGAAAGCTGTGCAACGCAGAGGAGAGAACTGCTTTGCTCCTCAAATACTTGCTGTCACTGTGGATGGGTCTTTTCCTCAGTCTGCATTAGCTTCATGTCACAGAAGCCAAACACAGCAGCGTACTGCAGCTCCTGAACCCAAAACACATTCAGCCAGTGTCAGAAATCATACCGTGAATAATTCAGTGTCACTTGGGTGTTTGACTCTCTGTTAAAGAGTAGATGAATACAAGTATTCTTGGCTATAAGTTGAATTTGCAGGACGCCCCAAAATCCAGTTTGCATTGTATTTGACCACCCTGAATGAAGACATCCCATTTTCCAGCTACTGCTCTAGGAAAGGGGAGTATTTTCCAAGGACCTCAGATTCCAGATTGCTGTGAATAGCAGAGAAATAAACTCTGGGATGCCCAGAGTCAGAGGAACACCTAGAGAGTGTATCAGGGACACCTACACATCCTATCAACTCATTGCATTAAACCCACTCATCCTAAGTTAGGGATATGCTATTGAAGACCTTCTCTCAACTTGCACAGGCGTTGGAGCATCTATGACAAGGCAGGAGAAGCTCACAGAGCTGGACGAGAAAAATGAGCTGACCAGCAACAGAGAAGCACGTACCTTTTTCCCATCGGGCTTGTCCACAAGGAATACCTCACTCCATATCTGAATGCCAGTCGTCTCCCGCTCAGATCCTCCCCTCCAGGAGAAACCAGTCAGAGGCTCGTTGTAATCTCCAACCCAGTCTACTGCTTCCTGCAGGTAGGAACAGAAGAAGTTGCCTGTGTTCTCATCTCACTATGGTTTTACACTTTTCCTGTGTGCTGCCTGCACCCCAGCACTGGAGGGGGGCAGCCCCTATAAGAGAGGTTTCCTACAGGGCAGCAAATGTGAACATCTCTGCTCTAAAGTCAAGAGCTCACTAGAGACTCACTGCTGCACAGGGCTGTGGAAGGATCTGCTCTATTTTATTTTGTGAAGCTTACACTAATGAGAAGCTTGAGCATTCCTAGAGCACCCAAGCCAGTGTCCTGTCCATCTCACCCCACATTCCATCTCACTGCAATGAGCAGCAGTACCATACCCCTGGGAAGAGCCACCTGAGCTGGAGCCATACCTTATTGTACATGTATCGCAGCATGAAGTCCATCAGGAATGATTTTCCTTTTCTAAAAGCTCCAGCAACAGACACAGCCACGACCTCTTTATCTCTGACAGCCTCCGAGAGGAGGATGCGGTTCAATGCAGCTTCATCCAGTTCAAAGGAATGGTCATCTTTGACAATGAGGACTTGCACTGGTCCTGCCTTCCTCACAGACTCCTCCTCCTCTGAGCTCCACTCGTAAGTCTTCTCTGCAAAACTACCTGTGTAAACAAGTAAAACAAGAGCTGTTAGGTTCCTTCTTCTGCAAAGTGCAGAATCACAGACAGAGGGGCTGGACAGGGTGGTAAGAGGCCAGCTAGACCAAAATCCATCCCAAAACAGCATCGTTCAGAGCAGATGTCTGTGGAACCTGCCTTCAGACATCTCGATGGAGACTCCATGCCACTTTGGGGCCATCAGTCCACGTGCTCCCCAGAGGCAGAGAGTTTCCTGCTGGAGTGTCCCTTGACAAAACACACCCATTACTTTTTGTCCTGCAAGAGGTGACATGGAGAACAGATCACTCTCTTCTAGCCTGCAACAACTTCTTACACGCACAAAGATTGTCATAACACCTCCCTCAGCCTTAACGGGGGCCATAACACCTCCCTTAGCTTTCTCTCTGCTAGAGAAGGTAAGTCCAAGCCCCCCAACCATCCCTTGCTACCATGTCATCTCTGCATCTGCCTGCCCTCCTCTGGACACTACCCACCAGGTCCTTCCTGAAGGCTGTCTCAAAAATGGATGCAGCACTCAAGCTGAGGTGTCCAAGTACCTCATGTCTCTACCAAAGGATGCTGCCTTTATGCATCCTGTGCCACTGCTGTTTCTGTAGCAACAGCAGAGCCCTGCTCCATCTGCAGTCTGCACTAATGCTCAAAGTGCAATCTGCTGCTTCTACCATCAACCTCATCGCCAGCCTCCCCCGAGACAACCCCAGCAGGAGCCAGGCCACAAAGACACAAGTCCTTCCTGCTAAAAGCCACTTCTCCACTCCCAAGTGGAAAGTGTACACAAAGCACAGGCACTGCTCTCTTTCCCACTCTGAAATGGCAAGGTTCCCCGTGGAGCTGCTCCCTGGCACAGGGGTGAATCCTGCCCAAGCTGTGGAGCATTTGTACAGCCTGACAAGAGGGTCTCACCCCCCTGCCAGGACAGGGGAGAAGTGACCAGCACCATGCTGCAGCAGGAGCCTTTGGAGGGGACGGGCAGGGACCCAGTGTTGAGTCACTGCATCCACACTCAGCAATGGCAGAGTGCCAGACAGATCTGTGTCACCCACATGATCCTCCAGACCAAGGCAGCTGAGATGATCACAGCTTCTAATGGCCTCGTGGACTGTTTGGGCTCCTTTGTGTACCTGCTGCAACACAGGAGACAGATGGATTTTAAGATCTGCCATCCACAGATACCACAGCCCAGGGGTTTGCAAAGAGCAGGCCAGTTCCAGTAATTTTCCTTTTGTTGTCTCCAAGCTTCCCAGCACAGGAAAGAGAAGCTGGAGGTGATGAATCACACCAGTCAGCTCACCTACAGCCACGTGAAATCTCCTCACCAGCAGGGAAGGGAGTGTGTGATGGAAAGTTCCCCCACATTTCTATAAAAACTTCCCAGGTAGTTGGTTCAGGCTGCAATTTTCCCAATATCAAGAGCAGCGTGGGCAGCAGGTCGAGGGAGGTGATTCTGCCCCTCTGCTCCGCTCTCCTAAGGACCCACCTGGAATACTGCGTCCAGTTCTGGAGCCCCCATCACAAGAGAGACCTGGAGCAGCTGGAACAAGTCCAGAGGAGGCCACCAGGATGATGCGAGGGCTGGAGCAGCTCTGCTGTGAGGACAGGCTGAGAGAGTTGGGGCTGTTCAGCCTGGAGAAGAGAAGGCTCCGGGGAGATCTTATAGCGGCCTCCCAGTACCTGAAGGGGCTCCAGGAAGGCTGGGGAGGGACTTTTCATAAGGGCAGTTAGTGACAAAACAAGGGGAAATGGGTTTAAGCTGAAAGAGGGGAGGTTTAGATGAGATATTAGGAAGAAGTTCTTCACTGTGAGGGTGGTGAGCCAGTGTCCCAGGTTGGCCAGAGAAGCTGTGGCTGCTCCTCCCTGGAAGTGTTGAAGGCCAGGTTGGATGAGGCTTTGAGCAACCTGGTCTAGTGGAAGGTGTCCCTGCTGCTGGCAGGGGGGGTGGGACTGGATGAGCTTTAAGGGCCCTTCCAACCCAAACCAGTCTGGGATTCTGTGATTCTATGATTCTATGAATATGGTAGCCTCAAGTTTAAACTCCTCGGTCTCTGTTTCAGACCCTGACCTCAAAGATCCAGTTTTCAGCCAGTCCCAGATGTTTCAAAGCACAAGGACTATGTGTGCACACGCTAAAAGGCAAGCTATAAATACCAAGAGGAATAGTGTTTGCCCATTCTGGACCTCTTCATAAAGCCTCCAGCAGCAACTTTGTATTTTAAATAACAGCAGAGCTTTTGTATGAGTTTCTGATTTCCTATGATCCTGCAATGTAATACTGGGATCATTAAGCCTGGTTGCTAGGGGATTTCTGGTGGCTCTCGGACATATACTACAAGCTTTCTTTGCCCACAGTTGAAAGACAAAGATCTTTTCTTCTTGATGTTTGGAGGTTTGGTTTTTTTTTAGCAAAACAAAAGTCTCAAATGCTCAGAAAAATTAAGATTCTCCATGAAATTGCAGCAGTCAGGGACCAGCAGCATCAAACTCCCTTCAAACACCAGCTCCTGCCCCATGTCACTGCTTAGGGACCTCTAGGAAAAAATAAAACCTTTCCATTTCAAATACATGGAGCCAGGATCCAGGCACATATCACCATATCAGCTGAAAAATGAAGGCCTTTGAGAGCAGTCACTCCTCGTGCTGCACTCTAAATACCATTTCCAGTGTTAAAGGAATTTAACTCAGTCGGTGGGTAACTCTGGGTTTGCTTTAGTTACAACTCAAGAGTTGGGCCATCACCTCAGCGAGTGGCAAAGGCATTGCAAAAATCAATATGTTATATTATATATGTAGGCATTGCAAAAATCAAGCTCTCTCTATATACTAAATTTAACATTATACAATAGGTATACATTTCTTATATGTATATATAATTATTTCTTGGTGTTTTCCCATGAACCTTCTTTTCAAAGTTCTTGGTGTTTTCCCATGAATCCTCAGTTCCAAATTTCTCACTAATTTAAAAGTCCACGGTGGTTTTCAAACACAGCTGATTCTTCTCATCTCATCCCAGAGCCTCTTCAGAAGCTGCAGCCCCGCTGGTCCCACTCTGGTCACTGGATTCACTGAGCTTCTTGAATCATCTTCCTGGCTGCTCACCTTGGCACTTCTAAGGAAAATCTTACATAATGACATTGAACTTGTGTCTATTTTAAAATCTGGAATCTTCCACAATTCACTTACTCTAAGCTAATCACTTCTCCTCTCTAATTGCTGTGTCTCTAAATTCTGTTATTCTTGTTGATTCAGCTGGGTTGGGTTTAAACCAGCCATGGAGAGGGTGATACAGGGGACAAAGTGAGAACCAGCATGGTTGCATGGTTTATAAGAATTATTATTATTATTCTATTATTTCATAGCACCTGTTTCATGTTAAGTTTTTCATCTTAACCATAATACTTCTATTAATCAATCTCATTTTACCTACAAGCATTTTTCTTACAGAGTCTTTCCCTTTTACACAGACCACATGAGATCGATGAAGGTCTGTAGGATGCTTTGGAGAAGCAACAGATCACTAAGCAGATCACGGGGTATGATTGCTGGCTGCTCTGCACACGTGTCCCTGTGTCATCACTGGGATCTCACCTCCTGGGTTCCTCTGGGAAGCTGCTTGGTGGTTTTGGAGAGCTGCTCTCTTTAATCCACATCTCAGGAGGGTTGCACGGGTGCCCATGGGGGGATGGCTCAGATGAAAGGACTGTACAAAGGTTCCTCTTTCTCGTGATGATTTGCAGGTGGCAGCAGCTTTCGTCACGATAGCATCGAGAATTTTCATCTCTGGAGGAGTGTTTAGCAAGGTTCCATTATTCCCCTTGGACAAGACCTGCTGTCCTGTCCAGGGATCTTCTGGAGAGAGTCCAGGGGAGGCCACAGAGAGGATGAGGGGCCTGGAGCATCTGCCTTCCGAGGAGAGACTGAGAGAGCTGGGACTGTTCAGCCTGGAGAAGAGCAGCCTGAGAGGGGATCTGATCAATGTCTAGAAATACCTGAAATGTGGGGGCCAAATGGATGGGGCCGGGCTCTTCTCGGTGGTGCCCAGTGACAGGACAAGGGGCAATGGGCACAAACTGGAACACAGGAGGTTCCACTTAAACATGTGGAAAAACTTCTTTCCAGTGAGGGTGTCAGAGCCCTGGGACAGGCTGCCCAGAGAGGGTGTGGAGGCTCCATCTCTGGAGATGTTCAAACCCACCTGGACACTTTCCTGTGCAACCTGGTGCAGGGAACCTGCTTTGTCAGGGGGATTGGACTGGATGATCTCCTGAGGTCCCTTCCAACCCCACCATTCTGTCATTCCATGATTCCTGTGCTGGGATGGATCTTGTTCAGCCTCCAAGGCTGATGGTGGAGCATGAGTGAGGGTTTTTCTTCCTTTTCAATAATTTAGAGATCATCTTGAGAGACTGTTTTATAAATAGCTGAGGTCAAGGCACACACGCAGCACGAGGGCTGCGGAACAAGATAATTACACAACATGCTTCTGAGACATGATTTTCATTTTCCATGTGTCTTCCCCCCCCCTCTTATTTTACCCTCAGAATGAATCACTCTCCGTTACCGTAGAAACAATCAACATATTACTTAATTTTTTTGACTTCTTTTAGGCCCAGAGTGACCAGATGACACACACCAACCTCCCTGGGCTCAGGCACACCCAAATTCTGGGGGCGATGCTCACCCCAAGCTTGTCCAAGGCTGGGGGCTGTGCGGGTGAATCACTGTGACTATTAACTCTTGTTGCAAGGGAAAGACACTAACTGGGTGTGAGCTTTTCCCCTCCTGTCCCTTCTCCATTTCCTTTGTTTTGAAGGATTTAGGGGAGTGGGAAGGTCCCATCCATGTTGGGAATAAAAAAATGAGCAGCTGTGCGCAAAAAGAAACGGGGAAGCGCTGCTTTGGCTGGTTAAATGGGGAAACTGGGAGTGCTCACACATTTCAAGACCTGCCTGGATGCCTTCCTGTGTGATCTCATTTAGGTTCCTGCT